GCTCCACACTAAGCTTTAACGATCACTGGTGGGGCTCCACACCAAGTGAAAAGGGATCTAGTGGGGCTCCACACTAGTCCTGAAACAATCAATCCTATCCAAAGAGTCTAGGTGAACTAGCTCTGTCCTATGGGTATCTCAAAGTTCTTAATTTCACGACTCTAGTTCAATATAGAGAAGGGCTTTTCAAGGTTTTATTTTCTAAGTTATTTTCTAAGCACACGTCGCCTCTATGGTCAACGATAGAAGACAAGAACTCTGCTATTGGTGCACTAGGGCTACGTATATAGCGGGGTAATTGCTTGAGAGCTTCCTAGAGGAAACCCTGCTGCTTATATACCCGCGAGCGTACATATTTTACATATAAGTGAAAGTGGACACGATAAAGTAATAGTAACTATGCAAGAAATGAGAACGAGGAGAGGATTCTGTCCATATGAAGTAAGTATCTACCAGAAAAGGAAGGTTTGGATATATATTGGTCGGAATTCGACATTATTTTGCAGGACTGCGAGTCATATTACTTTTTGGTCGCTAGAAAGTGGCGCGCGGAGGCGCTGTTCCGCATGGTACGTTTCGGATATCGGTGCTAGGACATAGTTATTCCGCTCAGAACTTGCTAGGAGTCCGATCTAGACCGAAACGCTTCGGATTCGTATCCGAGGAAGGTAGGCTCCATGCCCTTGTAGTTCTATATTATATTTTCTATGTCCTAGGACAGTCCTGGCACAGAATCCTATCTGTTTCCTGGTTATAGGACTATATGTCCCTCACTAGTATCTGTACTAGCAGTAGGAATCCCAAACTCGAAGCTCGAGGGATATTCCGATCGATATGTGAAAGCTGTTGAGCCCCCATATGGTCCTCGTATCGATGACCCGGTTACTCGGACATTTCTAATCCTGGTAACTCTGCTCTCGAAGGTGACTCGCACCTCCAGCTTCTACCGTATTTGGTATATAGCTCTGATTCGTCCCCTAGGGTCCTTCTACGCTGTGGTAGTTGGTCCTCGTTCACTATCCCATCTCATATGTCCCATAGCGCGAGTATAGTGTAGCCATATGACCTACTAGGAAGTCTACCATGTACAGTAGCATGTCCTCGTAAGGTTCCAGCCTGGTAATAGAGTATAGATACGGTCTACAGGTTTCGACGCGTATCCTAGCGCAATCATATAGGGCTAACGACGACATCAACGTCTATGCGCGTGCAGCTAGTATTCACTACGCAGTGCATGGCTATCTTATTCTTCGTCATATGCGCACTACTAGGTTCCTAGCAGTGATACCAAGTCCATATAGTACTTAGTACGATGTACTAGTGTGATTCTGAACACAACAATTAGTGTCAAAATGACTGTTTTTCAGCGATTTCGTTCTGGTACCCTCACATCTCCCCCAAACCAAAAGATCTAGACTGTCCTCGGTCTGTAATAGTTCATATGAACCTCTTTCTGGGTGTATTCGAGATGCGCGCGGTCAGTTTACTCTGTCCGCGTTATGTCCGATCAGTTGATGCCGGGTTTATCAAACCTCCTCGAGCGTCAATCATCTTTCATATTGATCTTATGATCAAATGGACCTTCGAGCGCTTCCCTCGCGCCAAAGCTAGTAATCCCTCGTCTAATTTTGATGTCCTAGGACATTTTCTTCATAGGAGAACGGCCATGTATAGCTATTCCAGGGTCATTGAACTTCTGCCGGTGACTGCCGGTTTCATGACTCAGCTTCCGTGATGTGACTGAATAGAAGCAGGATTCTCAGAATGTGATATATAGCATTTCACAAAGTTGAACCAAGTCCAAAATCCTTTCTTTCTTTTCCCCCATCATCATCGTCGCCACTAGTCGCTGCTAGGTGCGTTCCTTGGTTCTTTTCTTTAGCTTTTCTTTCTAATTTTCTTTTCCAGGATGCCTCTTCCGGTTCGCAACCCTTTCGCTCCGCCTCCCTCACCTCCTCCTCCGCCAAAACCTCGCAAGTCGAAGTCCAAACGCGAAGAGAAGCCCCTCAAGCTTTCTGCAGAAGAGGCTTACGAGCAACAGCTCGCAGTGTACGAGCGCGCGAAAGGTCTCGTCAAAGCGTTCTTGGTATATTATGATTCCGTGTTCGACAAGGATGCTGCCGTCGTCCCTACCAGCAATACGGTGATCAAGCTCCTCAACGCGGAGAAAGACAACATGGTACGCTTTTAATTCTTTTCTTGTCTTCATATGACTGATCCTCTTTTTGTTCTTAGCGCGAGTTCTACAAAATCTGCACCGATGAACGCCGGGGCTTCGACTTTCCCAAATCCTACTTCAGCGTCTTATTACAAGTCTGTCGTCTCACCAACATGGCAATAGACGCAAAGCTGGTCCCGAGGAAGGATTTCTCTCCCTGGCTCCCTGGTACGGATGAGACTGAGGCACTCGTAAAACGATTCGAGGTAAAGTCGTCATATGAATTTCTTTTCTAAATTTTTATTCTAATCGCGTGATATTTTTCGTCCTAGGACTACGATTTTCACCACCCATTGCCCCCGCCAGTTCGTCCTCGAGCCGCTACTCCTCCACCAGTAGCATCTTCGTCAAAAGGGTCCAAACGCAAGGCGCTCAGTTCGACTCTCGACATCAGCGACTCCGAGCTGAAGCCGTCTAAGCGTTCCAAGATCCAAGTTCGCGAGGACTCGTCGAGTGAAGATGGCGAGGAGAGCGAAGAGGTTGGCGACGAGGATCCCTTGCCTCATATCGGCGGGTGGTCCTTCGAGGATGTTCCTACCCCGACCCTTGGAGCTCCCAAAAAGCATTCCTCGCGTCGCGTAAGTGTATTCTGTGTTACTTTTCGTTTTCATATGACCAATATTTCTTCCCTAGCGGTCCCCTTCCCCAGCTACTGTCACTGTTCGTCACAAACCCGAGGCTGGGCCTTCCAAACCTAAAGCCAAGGACCGCACTAGTGCTCCTAAACCCAAGGGCAAGGAGAAAGCCACCGATCGCGAGAAGGTCCTCGCTGCAGAAGTCCGGGGCCCTGTAAGTTCATATGACCATTTTCCTTTCATCGTACTTATTTTCATTTTCCTAGCGACTTGACACTACTATTGCTCGGGTGCAAAAGAAGGTGATTGGAGGTACGAGTGTACGTATTCCCTCCTTGTCCTTATTGCTAGGTGTTTTCTAAATCATTTTCTGATTTCCGTACAGGCGATGCGGTCGTCGTTCTACCAACCCCCTGCGCCGGCCTAATATCGATGGAGGACGACGGCTTTGTGATCAGAGGAGCTTTCCACCGCGGTGGACACGTATATACCTTCAAGGGAACGTGCAGCTCTAGTACGGACACTGTCGTTGAGGCCTCGTCTATCGCGCCTGAACCCTACTTTTTCAAGCAGGGCTGCGATAGGTGCATTCAAAAAGGTTCTTGCTGCCTCTCCCCGCCCGTATGACTCGCCGGATGTTTACTGGGTGCGTAGTGCAACCAATCAATAAAATGCTCTGTTACTCAGTACCTTGAGGAGACTCTGGCTGCTCGTGATTGAGCAATTCGGACTTAGGGCTGCTGGGTCCTACCGGTAACTCTTTCTTTGATCTTTCCTTTGCTGTATTTAAACCATATGACTTTTCTAGGATTGGTCTTCCAGCTCGATGGCATCTTGGGTACTCTGGGTTATCTCCTGAGTGCCCTGGTCATCGAGTTTCAGGCCGTCAGCAAGCACTTCGCCTCAAACCGCACTCTCGAGGTCAAAGGTTGATCCTTCAACGATCACTCGCGATCCAAGAGTCATATGCGCATTGCTGCGAATCTTGCATCCCGTCCTCGAGGCCCTTTTACTCACTGAGCGACAGCTCATCCTTATCACGCTCTCATATCCCGCATTCATCGTTCCACGTTACCGCTGCCAGGATTTAGGTTCGATGGCAAGGATATTTCCATCATCGAGAAGTCCTCGGCATAGATCCGCTAGCGAGTAATTATTTCATATATTTTTAATACCCCACACTACTGATTCTTCCCACTGCCTTTCAGCAAGTGGTTCCGTGCTGAGTCGGCCTATCCAACCTGACGACTTGGCCAAAGTGGTTGGAAAGCAGGGTCGGGCCCGAGTTTGGTGATCATGTACTGTTTTTCTTATATTCAAAAACTTTCATTTGACAACTGACTTTGCCATATAGGACAAAACCACTTCGAGGACGCTCTGGTTCCCAGTTTGGTCAGGACTCCATGTCTCAAGGGATCTCCTAAAAGCAGTATGTTTATGTTTTTCTCTTTTCTTGTCATATGACGTTCTGACTTTTCTTTTCTTTTCTGTAGTCGGGTTCCATGGTCAAGACCACTTCTCCCCGTTCTATTTTTGCGTTCCGGCCTCTACCCAGCCACATCTATGGACTCCAAATCGAGAAGAAGGATGCTGGATCAAATAAGCCCTCCATGGTCGTCGAGTAAGGTCGTGGCAAGCTCATCGGGTAGAAGCGATCAAGGACAGGAAAGTCCCCTCGAGGAGCAGTATCTTCTTATGTCTCGGACTCGGGAGTAGTGGCCTCTTGCCTTTTGTCAATTTTTTTACGGACTGATTTTCTGTCGCGCGCGCCCCTCAGTGGGCAAAATAATGGTTTACATATTCATCACAGGCTCCCTAGTACAACACATTCAAGTACTAGGGTCAAGCAAATCTGTAGTCCGTGTCTTCTAGACCCAAATTCAATAGATTACTTCTTGGTATATCTCCTAGTTGACTAATTGAGCCCGATTGAAACTTAAACATATTCCCTTTGAGCCCAATAGTCGAGGACTTGATTTTAGCCAATATGTCTAGACTGGTTACCTCTCGGGAATCATCTAGCCATATATGCTCATATGATCTGAAATGTTTGCGCTCAGTATCATATATTCATGATTTTGGACTACTTAGACCATTCTAGTCACATCGAGTGGCGCTAGTAAGGATCCTCTTAATCCTAGTTCTTCATATGCGTCCCTTGGCTCAGCTTGGGAACGACATCAAAATAGTGTGAGAAAGGATTTATCCGCCTCTGCTGGGAAATCCAACCCAGGTCTTCCACGGAAAAAGATAGCCTTCGGCATGTATTCGTTGGTGCTTTAACCCTTAAGCTACAGAGGCTGGTAACTGTTGCATTTTATATTCCTTATAGCCCTTCTAACCCCTGTTACACAACTCTGCCGTTGTCCTATCTTTCAAAGTGGTTCATTTCCTAGTTCTTCATAGGCACTAGCTTTGGTAGTTTATTGCACTTAGTACCTCATATGGATTGTCCTATGTGCGTTTCAACTCTGCTCAGGGACTTTTTTATCCCTTTTCTGTCCGTCATATCCGCTCTGGGATGGAGCTTGATGTAGTCTCCTACTAGGTTGAAAATAGTTCGAAATATATTCGGATTTTTCGGGTTACCACTAAGCAATCTCTCCTCCCCCAAACCAAAAGAAATGTCAGTACCCCTTTGACAGTGCCTCGCGGAAAGTTTCAGCCGCTCCTACACCAGGGGGCGATCAGCGCACCATCCGGAAATATCGCTTGCAACTTCATACGCACCATCGACATATCTCTGGCTTCAGAAGATTTTTCTTGCCCAACGCGTGAACCTTATTGCTCCCTAGGGACCCTATAAAAGCGTCCTCAGGAAAAACCCAAGAACCCATCACCAATCTTATCCTGTCTTTTCTGCTTCGCACTAGCATCCTGTTCACCTCATTCCTGCTCATATTCCATGCAAAAACTATCGGTCCCTGCCCCTTGTGCTTGAAAGATCGCTCAGGAGTGGTTAACCAAAGCTCTGCAGCATATTCCAAGAGGGCGAGGCTATCGTTAAGATGGCCAACATCAAAATGCGCCGACGCTAGTGCCAAAAGAACTTCTAAGTGTCTTCGTGCGAATTCTAGGTCTTCTTATATGGGTCCTAGTACTAGACTTCGACTCTTCTAACAGAAGGCATCATTGAACCCGTACCATATCGCCCAAAG